TTTATATTAAGATAAAAGTTGCATTATGCCAATGTATAAAGACATAAATACCTTCGGTATCAAACCACAAAATTTTAGAATTATAATACTGAACCTACCTGGTTTAAGTGTCAAAAGAGTTGGGCTTATTTGTACTCTTTCTGGGAACTCAGAAAATTCACAGAAGAGAGCAACTTAGATCTTCAGCTTAAATTTTAAAGTATAATTTTGTGCATTTTTCTCCCCCCTGAATTTAACCATCATATTTAGACAATAAAATAAATATTATCTGTGTCTCCAGGAAGGCAGTAACAGATTGCCCTTAGGGCCTTTGCGAAGGCTATTTGTTCACGGTGGTAGCCCTACACATAGTATTGTGATCACACCTCCTTCTTGAGGTTGTTATTAAGTTAAACTCAGTACTCTTCACAGGGTGTTTTCAAACCGAATAGACATTAGCCAGCAGTCAGTACCTGCTAGCTGTCGCCACATCGCTATATAATTAAACAAAGCATGAACACCATCATACCAATGACAGCGACTCTCTTTAGGATCATCTCTCCTATGTCGCCTAAATTCATTTACAAATGAGGATTGGTTGGTTAAGGGCAGGCGAGTGTGGATCCTCTGTAGAAAGGTTGCAGGTAGCACTCTGCGCCTGTAACTCCAGCGGAGGAGGACCACTGGGCTAGGTAGCCTGGGAGTCTAGATGAATGAGAGACCTTGTCTCCATCACTCAAGGAGGTGGGTCGGGACTAGAGAGATTGCACAGTGGTAAGAGCTCCTGCCGCACAAGCATGACGATCTGAGTTCAAAGCTCCAACACCCATGTAAAAAGCTTGACTTGGCCACATATGCCACGCAGGTCAGATGAAGGAGAATTACTGGAGTTTGCTGACTTCCAGTCTAGCTGCGGGTTCCGTCAGAGACATTGCATCAGGGGAATGAGACAGAGTGATAGAGCAGGACACCCGAAAGTCTCTTCTGGCTTCTGACCATCAGGGGCACACTTATCTACACACACATATTTAGATAATCATACATCACACATACACACAACCCCCCCCCCGACACACACACACAAAGAATGTGAAGAGGAAATGATTTGAAAAGAAAACTAGAGTTGACTCTGGACTCTACACACACACACACACACACACACACACACATACACACACACACACTAGGAAGACCTTCAAATGCCTACAACATACACAAAAGAATGCCAACATTTAATAAGAGGTAACGGAAAAGCTTATCAGATGTATTATTTAACTACTATCAGTTACTTACAACGATAATAATGCCATAAGTTATCCCATCTTTTAGTTACCTACTACAACTCAGTGCATGTTGTAGTTTGGTCGCCTGATGTCTGATATAAGCTAGAATCAACTAGGTTGTTCTATTTTAAAACATGGATTTCTTAAGTTTGACTTCAGACTCTCCTTTGGGTCGAAGGCTGTTCTACCTACTCCCCATTCTCCTTCTGCAAGGCACCTTCTTCCCACAGCAAGCGATGGATGCACAGGACACAAATACAGTTAAGCAGCACATTTGGGTATTGCCCGCTTGCATTTCCTTCTCCACGTCCAGTCAGATGGCCAAGCCCAACATCCATGGGGTGTAAGTGTTTTCGACTCACAGAGGGAGGACATTGACATTGGAATGATCCTGTTATGGGGGACTAAAGATTTAGAACCAAGGATTTAGTCTGTAAAGTGCTGTCCTTGAACTTGCTTGTATCTGAAAGGCAGAAGGCCTGCATATAAGAAAAGCCATCTGCCTACCAGCAAACAGTACACATCAGACTGCCTCCCAAGTAGCAGCCATGGACTTCCCTTTCTCTTCCTGTTTCTGTACACAGCTTGGGGAAGGAACTCAAAATATCAGGGTAACACCGCATGGCCATAATGTTGGGATTCTGCCCTTGTGATCCTCCCTCAATACAGAGTTAAACCCGCACAGAAGCCCTGTCACAGCCCAGCCAATGGCAGGCTCCATCTTCTCAAATGAACTCATGCTGCAGGGGGACCCCCCTCATTTTATTTTATTCATGTAAACTTTATGAAATATACTCTTGCAAATAGCACAGGCTTAATAAATATGGATTAAAAGATCGAGGGTCAGAAATAACGCTAGAAAAGTAGGAAGGATTCAGCAGCAGAATTCTTTCTGGGTATTTCATGTTTCAGCATGGGAAAGTAAAATGTCCTATCACACACAACATAAAGGCTGTGGAAATTTATCATCTCGAGTGAATATATGATCCTAAGTGCATATTAACTGAGATAATTTAGCTATCTAAAAACTAGCTTTTATGCGATTTTTTTTAAGCTAACAAAATAGCCCGATGCATCCCTTTAGGTATTGCTTCACATCTATTGTAACCCTTCTAAAATCCCTTCTAGAAACCATAAGTTTATATGCCCTTCCCCATTTAACTTTTTATCGTTTATATGTTTCCTATGGAGATAGACAGACCAAGCTGTTCCTTACCAAATGCTGGTGTAACTGAGTGATGTGACTCCCCACCCCCATCCCTCCACACACCGGCAGGCGCCACTTTTTTAGTAAGAACTAACCCCTTGGAAGCATTTAAAATGGGTGGAAAGATAGAAGGCAGCCAAGATGTCCTTCTAAAAGACAGCCAGATGCATGCTAGTCTAATTGCCCAAGAGTGCACGGTGGGCTTTGAAAGCAAGCCTTCTGCATTGGCGCCCCCTGCTGGATTTGAGCGTGAATTGTCTCTGAAATTAAAAACAACCTGAACCTTTTCAGCTGAGGGCACGCTTGCTAGCTTGCTACTCAAGTGGCAAATCCAAGCCTACTTCTAGGATGCGTTTCTTCCATGATAAACACACCGTGAAGTCCGTGAGCTAGCTTCCCAAGAGCAGAAACACCCAAATAGAAAACTACCAGTCGAGACTTAAGATAGGGAAGAAAAGCGTGCCGCTGAGATGCCGGTGTTAGGGAGATGTCTGCACGGGAAGGCAGAGAAAACCCAGGTCCAACTGCAGGGCAAGCCCCTGGGCGAGAGCACTGGGTTTAGGAGTCCGAACGTGAATCTCTGAAAAGAGTTCTGCACATCCCTGTTACTTTTTCCTTTCCTCGCCCGTCTCTCCCTGTTAAGGACACTGTCTGTCCTCACTCCCTAAGGGACACAGGAACCAGACTAATTTTGAAGGCAGCCTGTCACCTACAGACTTCAGACCTATTATGAAATCTGTGTTATGAAGTCTGTCTGTTGGGGAATAGCTGGCAGTTTTTTTCTCCCTGCTGGACTCAGTCCATGTGGTAGGGAGGAAGGGGAGAGATATTGGCTAAATTTTTGGCACGTGCTCTCCCACCAACTTGGCCTTATTAAGGGAACAAGAACAACCATGATGGTTATTTCCTCCCAAGAGGAAAAAAACAAAAACAAAAAACAAACAAACAAAAAAACCCGGTGCTGTCACCCTCAGGAAGAATTCCAACAGAGAGCACTGCAGAAGCTGCGTGGTGCTTTGAAATACTTCACTGGCAGTGGTGGGTTTAAAAAGCCCCCCAGCTTCTCATATTCAAAATTGCTTGGTGTCCCTCGTGTCTGATGGCAAAGTAAAACAAACTGAGCGGATCCTGATGTATTTAGGTATTCACTGACTGCGCTCTTCTCTGGGGGTTGAAGCTGTCTGGAGGATTGTTTTTCGGAGTTATCTCGGTAGAGGCTTCTTTGCGAGTGTGGGGAGGAGTCTCATACTCCTGCCTTTGTATTGGCAGCCAGAGTAAAGCTGAGCCAAGCAGTGCAGCACAGGCCTGTCACCCCTCCCAGCACACAGGAGACACAAGCAAGTTCAAGGCCAGACTGGGTACCAAGTGAAACCCTGTCGCAAAAGCCCAAATCCAACCAGAGAAGAATGAATGGTGGCAGATGATGGTGCTCAAAATACTCTAAGCAAATGCATGTTGGTGGCTTAGGCCTTCTTAAGAGCCAGGGATGGAGAGGGCTCAGTGACCTTGATCCCATGTTCCTTTCTGTCCTGGGGAGTCTATCCTGGACTGTCTTGCAGTTATGGCTCTTTCCAAAAGGAGAAAGCAGAAGCTGTCATTTTGAGGATAGCTTAGAAGTCTCAGGACAGTATTCCCACCTAACAACTCCTTGGTCCAAACAAGAGACCCCACAGGTCACATTCACACAGAAGGGGGCTAGGTGGCACTCCCAGACAGATGGCCATGTGGACATCTATACTTCGTATTGTCAGCTTCTGATTTTCAGTTTTCTGTATATTGCTATGTTTCATGTTCTGCTCCTATGTCTTTATATAAGGTAATCATTTCTATTTCCCTTCCCTCAAAAGTGTTTTGGAGATCTCCCCAAAATTAATTACAAAATCAGGCCTTTACTTGCCCTTGGAAATATATTTTCCCTACCCGTGAATTCACAGCTAGAACATACTTTAAGACATAAAAATAATTAATTTCACACAGCCAGTCTCCACTGCAACTGTCATTTATTTTATTTTTTTCAGAACTATACAATTGATCAACATAATGAATTCAGAACAAAAAAATTTTCATAGCATTGAAGTGTTAGGCCGCTGTATACGAGATAAGTGAAAATAAAAATTTGGAAACACACATCTAACAAAAGCATAAAAGGCATAGAAAATCAGCCAAGCTCCTTACCCTGAGAATTCTACTTAATTCAAAGCAGAAGAGGAGATTGGAAGTGAAACATGTTTGGCATTTTTGGAAATGGCCAGCAGAGAGAGAGAGAGAGAGATGTTTCCGGCACCACTGAGTGAATATTGTTTACTCTATCATTCCCCTAGCAAATCCATGGAGAAGGGACGGGTATAACTGTGCTTGTGTTTGTGGGGGATTCTCCTGTTTCACGCCCCTGATTCATCTGTCTGCTGTGCTTTGCAGGAGTCATGCTACATTGGTTGCAATTAATTTCAATGTTGCATATTAGCCATAAGGAGATATTTCAGCCACTGATTTGATTTTTTTTTCTTCTCCCCCTGTGGTTTTCTTGAAAGATGAGAGTGGTCCGGAGGAAAAGCCAACTGCAGGAGAAACGGAAGGGCAGAGCCAAGAAGCAGGTGGGCTCAGGTTTCTTTTGAGGAGTCTCCTAGGCCTCATCCACAGAGGTGAACAACAACTTTCCTCGATGTTCTTGCCTGAAAATGCTTTGTGCCCTTTTCCTTGATTAACCCCACTGTTCCCTTCTTCTCTCCAGTCCCCTTAACTCCAAGTTGACGGTGCTCCCATAAAGAACACACGCTCTTACTCACCCCTCCACTTTTCATTTCCTTCATGTAATAACAGAGGGCTTAGGGATGCACTGAGAACTGCGGGCCAAAACGGGAACCACAGCATCAGACCTTGGATGACTTAGAGCAGACTGAGCCAAATGGGGGGAAAGGAAGCTAGATCTATTTGAGGAGAATGAAGAAAGGCTTTCTCTCCACACTGGACGGGACGTTTCTCTTGCTTTTAATTTTGAAGAGCCGTGTGGCTGGCCATTTCTCTGCAGTTTGTAGATAGTGCTGTAGAGCCCTCCCATCCTCTCGCTCCCAACAGCTCTAATATCAAAAACCTTCTTGATATCACCCCGTTAAGAAAAGACAGCTGTGTCCATCAAATATTTATACATTTTACACTGTAGAGTATACTTTTAGCTTTTTAAAATAATAGTCTTGAGATTCAAAAGGGATTGAAATCATCTTCGAATTATCACATGCACACGCACACACACACACACATTTCTGTCCTTAGGAATTTTTATGGCTTCTGGCATTATTGCCAAAATATAAATACTCCCTTTCCCTTAAATCTCCAAGTTATTTACCCTGTTCTATTGAGTCCCATGGGGGAGCATTTTTTTTAAAGAGTGGGCTCTATTTCCTATGCCAGCCACATCCTAGTCCACATGCTGAACTCTCAGAATTAGACCAGGTAATGTGATAAGTTTTTCCACCACATTGCTCTTGGGAGTTCTTGGAGTATTCTTGGAAGGCAAACTCTTTCTCTTTTTTTGGTTATTCAAGACAGGGTTTCTCTGTGTAGCTTTTGGAGCCTATCCTGGAACTCACTCTGTAGACCAGGCTGGCTTTGAACTCAGAGAGATCCTCCTACCTCTGCCTCCCAAGTGCTGGGATTAAAGGCATGCACCACCACTGCCCAGCAGAAGGCAAGCTTGTATTAGTAACTTGGAAGATAGACATGCAGAAAGCTAATCAGAGGAAGCATTGAAGCAAGACAGGAAGGATCCTGCATCCCTGTTACAGGATCACCCGGCTCCCTTTGCTGAAACATGGCCCTTTCCTCAGGACAGAATGAACTGCTGGTACTGTCAACTGTTCTTGTCCAACCGTTGCTAGGCTCTACCCACACACACTGCACTGTATTGAAGATATAGCTTACATGGAAAGCTGTAGCCGTTTTTACTGTTCAGGGATGACATGTATTCGTCAGTCAACTGTTGGCAACCAAGACCATGCATGATCTGACTGTTGAAGTTCTATAAGTTTTGTTCACTTCATGTTCTGTCCTTGCTGTCTTTACCAACATTGATCTTTCTCCTGTCACTGCACACACACACACACACACACACACACACACACACAAACACACGCATGCACACACACATGCACACACGCACAGAGGCACACACAGACACACAGATAGACAGACACACCAGTGCCATTCTTTCCATCTAAATCAGTTGTTTTCTGATAGTTTCATTTTGGTTTTATGACCACCTTCTGTGAGTTCAGAGCGCAAAAGTCTGAGCCTTCTTCTCCACCTTTGGGATATAAAAAGCATTACCACCCAAAATGGCTGCCTCTTGACCTTTTACCATGGGGTCTCCTCTGTGTTCCTCAGTAGCTCCTCTGCTCATCCAAGACAGTGGGATGACTGACAGAGTCTAGCAGCAGGGTTCATTCCTGATTCTGTGGCCAGTGTCACTAGATGCTCCTCCATTCATTTTGTCATTTTGCAGTCTCCTCACTCAGATGACAACTGAACATGTGGTTCTGGTTGTTAAAGCCCCTTGACCTGCTGTTAGTTTCCAAAACAAAAACATCCTGCTTTCCTTCAGCATAGTATCCAGTGCCTGGGTTGATTGCATAACTCCGCGGGTCTCTGCCACATGATGGAAAAACACAGTCTCCAAATAGCATAATTTACAGGTTCTGACAGCTGTCACCGTCAGATCAAATGCAACGGCCTATAGTATTTATCAAGAATCAATAATAAATCTACATTGAAGGTTTATTGCCTCCCCAGCATTGCATGTACATTGCAAATATTTCAATTCGTTCTAAAAAAACAACTGGGGGAATGTTGCTTAAAATGAGCTCTGAATGCTGAGATGGTGAAAGATCATTCTAGATGCAGGGGGTAGATCATAAATTGGCCTCACAATGCGGGGGAGGTGCAGTGTGACTGGAGTAGGGTGGGCTCAAGAAATTAGTGTGGGAGACATGGTAAGACATCGTAGGACCAGACTGGGGCTGACAGCATGTCCTTTGACTTGACGACATAGAGAACTCAGTGGAAGGTTTTAAATATTGGAACCAATGATTGATGTATTAATGAACTCATTTTGCCCATGAATGAAAATGGATCCAAAGGGGTAGAGTTAGAAGATGACTACAAGAAAGCAATGACAGATGATTCTGGAAATGGGAGACAAAAAGGCTGAAATGTGGCACCTTCTAGAAATAAGAAGTAACAGGGTACACAAGCTAAAGGATGGGATGCATTGGAGAAAGCAGAATCCTACTTAGGTCCTAAGAGTATAGCTTCCATGTCTGAAGGGACAATAGGGCCACTTAACTGGAAGACATTTTGTTGAAAAAGTTAATAGTTTAGTTTTTGCATCAATAAATTTGAAAAATAATGTACAGCCAGCCATATGGAATGTCATGTTAGATAAACAAGTTCACATGCAGGGGATGTGAACACTGCATTTAAAGCTTTAGGAGACACAACCCTTTGGGGGTTATTTAAAGTCTGGGAGTAGAAGGCTATTGGGTTAGAGAATATGCAAATGTCAAAGGCAAAGGAGCCAAGGAGCCGGGGTGTCACTGACATCTAGACCCCTGTGAAGAAAAGCAGAAGCAGCCAAAACAATGATATGGCTTTGAAACAAACAGGGAGGGGCTGGGAAATGCTATTGAGAAGTCAAGTCAGACAGAAAGGGAGAAATCGTCAAGTTGAAAGTGATGGCAACAGAGAGGGAAGCTGAGGCAGGAAGAAGGCAAGGTCAAGAACTGTTTGGCCATGTAGGAAGACCTGTCTTGAAAACAAAGGCAAAGAAAGCAATGCAGGAGTGGTGGTGGTGGCAGTCTTTAGCATCACAGGAAGGATGCTAGCACCTTAGGTGATGGAGTTAGGAAGACCGCTGGACAAGCACTTGAGTGGCGTATGCAGAGTTTCAGAAGTAAAGACAGTAACAAAAGCTTTTCTCAGGGAGTTTTGTTCTGAAGGGAGAAGAAAATGGGAAAGTATTGTGACCATAAGGGAAGGCTAACGGTCTGTGTGATACACGCACACACACACACACACACACATGCACACTATCCACCTTCTACAGATGTTATTCTCTGTTCCAAGAGAGATGCAAACTAAAAGTAACAACCATATATCACGGACAAATGACATGCCAGAAAATAAGAACATTTCCTCGAATTATGTATTTTCTCTTTAAGTCTGTGGCAAGTAACTTTAAGAAAACTGTGTATATTGTTTTATCTGTTGTAAGATGCTTTATAATAAGTTCTTGGGTCCGAATTCTACTGTTCTCATGGTAGTAGCTAATTATCTAGCATTGCAGAGGCCAAATATGAACCAAATACCCCTGACTCTGAGGAGACCAGCAGGAGAGATCATTTCTGATGGTCCTTAGTTGTTACTGTGAAGGGGACAGAGTCCTTCCTGTCCTTGGTCCCCATTCTGTAATTGGGTGATATGAAATCCCTGTGTGTCTATACCCTATTTTGAGTGCTCTTCTTCTCCTGGACTACAGTGCTGGCTGCCATGGAACTGCTCTGTCCAGCTGGACAGCGAGTGGATTGGCAATCCTGGGAAGTGCTGAGCTAAGAAAAAGCCAACTAAAAATCACACATATGGGGCACTTTGTAGAAATTTGCATGGATGTATATTACCACACACCACAAAAAAAAAATCTGTGTATTTTTTTTGCCTTTAAACTCTCAATTTTCTTGCTTTAGACTCCTAAGTGCTATAAGGAAGCAAAATACAACTGCAGTTGCTGACATAGCACTGTCGAAAGGCAGTAGTTCTCACCAGCTCACGTCTTGTAGTTCATTGGCCTCTGTCTCACGTGAAGATTTATGCTTCATTAATGATAAAAAAAAAATGCATCACAGCCCTCTGCCCCGGAAGACCATTTGGTGTGTGAAGGACACTGACACCTTCATTGGTTGGGTGGGTAGGGAGCTGAAGGGAAGGAAAAGCCACAGCCTGAGGTAGTAAGCCTGAGACAATGTTTTCTCTGCTTTATAGATGGTGTCAACACGGCACCTGTGCCCAGTCCTGCTTCGGAAGACACAGTTGAAGTCCGTCAGGATGAAGGTATGAGGCCACAGCCAAACTCCACAGACCCTTACAAGGAAACTGTGTAGGTTTTGTTTATGTGGGAAACTGAAGCAGCGAACAAACTCGAGTCTCTTAAGTGCCTCTATTTGGAACACAAGGATCCCGCCCACTCTGCTCCATCCCATTCCACATCGAGCCTCTTTAGAGTCTATATATACACTTACATGTGTTCCTCTAAAAATAATATTTATAAAATAAGGGCAGGAGCAGAGAAAGTATGGTTAGAGAAAAATGTTTATCTGAAACTCGGGAATTTGTCGATTCTGTTATTTGTCATTTCTCATTGGGCATGCGTGTCAAAGAGTGGCATTGAGGACCACCCATCAGAGGCCTGGCAACTCAAGAAGTATTCAAAATATTTGAAAGGCATCCATAAAGATAGACCTGAGGCAAAGTGACCATTCTATGGACCATCACTAAGAGAAAATGTGGCTGACCAAAGTAAACCAAAAAGATAAAAAACTAGGAGAAATTATTACTGTTTTAGGGATAAGTGCTGAGACACAGGGATGCAAACGGCTTTTAAAAAGAATCATAAAGGAAAATAAAATCTTCTTTTCTCTCCTCTCCCTCCTGATTGGTGGGTAAGTCTCCCCAGGAGATATAATTTGTGATGTCTGCCATTAGCAGCTACTAAAGCCCACTGTGACTGATAGACTAGACTATTATATTTGGGCAAATGGTGTCTTGTAAACCATATCATCTACTTGGAACTTCAGAATGTACTTTGAATCTGTTTCTTCAGTCAGATGTGATGTGAAAACAGGTGCACATTGCCACTAAGCCTTGCTATCCTTTGAATCTGTTGAGGACATCAAAATAGCACTGCCATTTTAATACTCACTAGACGGCATATACATTTCCATGCCCATTTCCTGGTCAGTTTTTGTTTTAATCACATGTAGTTGATGTCAGTTGATCAGAGTACCAATAATTGAATTGGACACTGGAGGCTTGATCCCAGCTCTGCTGCCTGTTGCTTAGCTAAATTGTGACAAACAGTTCAAGTCACGAACAAATGCTTCACAAGCAAATCCACAGTGAACTTCTTGGGACTTCAGTTTTTCCTTCCAAAGTGCGGACAAGAATAATGTCTACCTTGGGGCTCGGTGCATGAAACAGTGGGTAGAAGCACTTTCTGTGCCAGCATGAGCTGAGTTCAGATTCCAAGCACCTGAACCGGTGGTGGTGGCACATGCCTGTAATCACTACATGTAGGAGTCAGAGGCAAGTAAGAGTTCAAAGCCAGCATCAACTACACTGCAAATCTGAGGCTAGTCTGGGCTAGATGAAACTCGGTCTCAAAAACTAAAAAACAAAAAGAAAGGAAGGAAGGAAGGAAGGAAGGAAGGAAGGAAGGAAGGAAGACAGGGAAAAGAAAGGAAACAAGAAAAGAAAATGAAGTGATAAAACAAAACAAAACCCACTAAGTCCCAGTTACCTAAGTAGAGGCAAATCTGTAATCCCAGCACTGAGAACAGCAGATCACAGAGTGAGGCTCACTGACTACCAGATGAGCTCCAAATTAAGGGAGAGACCCTGTCTCAAGAGAATAACGCTAAGAATGGTAGAGGAGGATGCTTGGTGAACTCCTTTGCTCTCATACACACACCTATGTACACATCTATCACACGCGCACACACGCAGCGCTCAGAAGATAATGCCCACCTCACAAACTACAACACAGCTAGTTTTTCTAGCCAAATAGAACAAACTTTCCAGAAACACAGACTGAATTAGAGTATTAGGAAGCGGCTTGTTTATCAGAGAGATAACAACTCCCTTAATAGAATAAGGAAGGGGACAGAACTGGCTGAGAGAAGTCCTCCGTGCACCGTCAGGAGGGATCAATCCCACCTGACGTTTTGGGAAGCTCCAAAGATTTACCTGCAATAGATTCTGGTACTGGCTCTCCTGGGATGTATGCGGCTGTGAGTTTCTTTCTATTGAAGTATTTGTGGAAACCAGGGATGGATGGCATCCGCTGGTGCCTGAGAGAATCATTGTTTCTTCCCAAAGGAGTTCGGAATGAGCCAACAGAGTGTCCACCACACTGCCATCATCTTAAATGATCCTTTTTCTTTTTATTGCCACTTTTCAAATGACACTTCCTTTCAAACTATGTAGGTATATGATCAGGTATCTCTTATTTCAAAAATATTTGACATATCTAAGAATGTAATTTGTGTCAGAATTCCTCAGAGATTTCTTGAGAAACTCAGTCATTTTACAGAGACTGATCGGGTAAGAGAAACGATAGAAAATGGTACTCATTTTAAGCAAAGAAAGGACATTTCAATCATTTAGTTTATCATAAAAATGTAAAAGCAGGCCGGGCGGTGGTGGCGCACGCCTTTAATCCCAGCACTTGGGAGGCAGAGGCAGGCGGATTTCTGTGAGTTCGAGGCCAGCCTGGTCTACAAGAGCTAGTTCCAGGACAGGAACCAAAAGCTACGGAGAAACGCTGTCTCGAAAAATCCAAAAAAAAGAAAAAAGAAAAAAAATGTAAAAGCATCATGAAATTGAATGACAGAGTCTAAGAAAAAAAGGAAGAGGAACAATCTAATTTGAGTGCTTCAAGCTGAGATTTCTTGCTGTTGAGTTGTTTAGCTGGGAGACATCACACCTTCATAAAACACACTGCTTGTGATATTTCTTGATGCTTTTAGGATCTCACACCATTAATTGCTCATGCAGGGATCAATTATTTTTCAGAATACTTTTAGGATTTTTCCCCTAAAATAAGACTTTTAATGGTGTTAACTCCATCAAAGAATTGTCGTGTATCACAAATGTAGTTCCTTTTTGGGACTAAATGTGAAGATTTAAGGGATTTTAATGAAATACATTGTTAATTTCCATTAACTTTTTTTTATTTGGAAAATGTGGGTTCTGTGATCTACTTTAGTATGTAGTGTGGTTTCATCTAACAGTAGAGCATATAGGGCAAGGATTTCGCGTTCATCTTCTGAAATAGCATTCCTATAAGGGCACGGCTTTTAAACAGGTTATCTGTTCAGAGCTCAGACTCTGGGGCTTGCCAAGCTGTCATCAAGATTGACGGATGCACAGCTTAGAATTAAGAAAAAGAATTTTCCATTGAAATCATCCAAGATTGAGGTCAAGTTGAGGTTAAAAGGAAGTCATAAGTGTTCAGGATTCATTTCAAATCTTTTCTGTTATTAGCTTTCATGCAGAAATATCTGTCCTTGGTGACACCAGGGCTATTTCAGAACCTCACAGTCATAAGATCGCTTAGAGAAATGCTCATGACACTCTCCGGGATAAGTGGCAGAACATTTTTCGCTGATCAAAGGTCGTAAAGGACCCCTTGTTCTCTTGATTTTTTGAAAACTTCATTCCCAAAGGAACATCTGGTTGGGGCCTTGGAATCACCCATGACCTCACATGGCCAGGTTCTCGGTATTGTGGGCATCTCAGTATGATGCCCATGGTGTGTGTGCCATATTCAGTGTTTACAGTTTTGCTTGTCAGTTGGATGGGTTTACATTTGTGAAGATTTTAGTCTCCACTGGAAGTTAGCATCTTCTCGAGGAGGAGTTGAAAACAAGCAAGTGAAAAAAAAAAAGGTGTCTGTCTTTATTCCTGAAACAGAAGGTATTATTTTTTTAACCAAGCAGTTACGTGAAAGTTGAAAGAGATCTCTAGAAGTGTTAGAACTCAACTGTCGTCTGCAATGGTGATTCTCTGTAAGCACTGCTGACAAACTTACCACTAGAAAGCAAATCTGGGTGCTCTCGCCCGCTTACCCCACACCACTGCTGACTGGGCAGGTGATGTAGCTATCTGCTTGCAGATCACGGCAGACTGCAGTCCAGACACTGACGACACCTGTTCACAGTGAGTCATTGCAGCTGCCAAGTGGGCGGGAGGTGAGCAGAGAGGATGAGATTTGAGGAGGAGGCACACTAACGAGTAGCTCATCTACACGGTGTTGATGCCAGAGCCAGGCCTGATATGAAATTCACTTCAGGGGGAAGCTGCCCTGGGAAAACATCTGTGGCATTGGATGGGCATTGGAGATGATTACTGTAAGATAGGACATGAACGTTATCTATTGAGGAATTCTCCCTTTACTCTATGGTGCTCTTTTGAAAGGGTTTTGCACTTTAAATTCTAAAAAACAATTTCTGTTTGAGTTAACAAACACGTAGACCATCAGATGAAAGTCCATAAAACACGGGGTTCAAATGCACAAATAGCTGGCACTGTGCTCAGAAACTTCCAAAGAAGTGATGCTATTGTTAAATGTACAGGTGTTTGCCTCCTTAGGTCGGGGAGCAGCCTCTCTCCTAACTGTCCCCATGTTTGTCATGTCATCCTCATCCACTCCAAGACACCTTACTCAGGAGCGGGCGGAGGGAATGATGTACAAACACATCCGGATTCACCTGCCTTATTATTTAATCAGTACCTAATTTGAATTTGAAGGTCAACTAGACCAAATCATAGGCTCATTAATATTGAAATCAAAATCAATTAATACCCAGGTGCACACCCGATCTGTGTCCCTTCGGAACTCCATGAAAGTCACACCAATGCTTTTTGGCATTTTGAAGGTAGAATGTCACCCGAGAAGGGATTTCTGAACCCTTTAATCTAGCTTGAGACTTCATGGAGGTCAAAATGACTGGAGAAAAAAAGGAAATCTGGATCGAGATCAGCCATGATAACAGAGCCAAAAAGGGAAGATGCGGTCATGGATGAGGAAGCTATGGTTAAGACATGATGATCATCAGTGGTGCTATTATCATTGTTAGCCTGCCAGGGAAACAATTGAAGAGAAACAAAACATTGTGCCACCCAATAAATTACTCTCCACCTTAATCTATCTTTTCTTAGTCCTCTTCCTGTCCTTATTGTCCACTGTTCTCTCCTGAGAACTTTATCCTGATACCCACCCTAGCTGGAACAAAAGTGTACCCTGTTCCACATCTGCATGGATAGAGGGTCTG